ATAATGTTATAATAAGTAATTTGTTCGAGCACCGTCGCTCGGGCTACCGCTCGTCGCAGAAAAATATTGTGTCGCGCGCCGAGTCAGCTGTGCCGCGATCACGCCGTAATCATGTGTCGCGCGAGCGCCAGCGGCACAGGTGATTCGCAGTCGTTTCGCCGAATCCGAGGCTCGGTTCGCGGAACCATCGCTTCTGTTCGCGATCGATGATAGACAGTCAGTCGCTGTCGGGCAGGAAAAGATCTCGGTTGCAAATCGGTTTTATCTCTCGAATCCTCAGGCAGTGATCTCATCTCTCTACGGTCGTTGCATCGGGGAAATCTCAAAGTCGATAATAAGCCGCGCGCGAATTCGGTCTCGGCGTTAACGTCCACCGCTTCTCAGTTGCGTCGAACGCGTCGATCGGAACTACCCTCGCCGGAATTCGCTAAGTTGTGTCGTTCGGACAAAGATCCAGCGCGTCTCCTTGTCCTCATCCGTTCCAACATTTCTGTAATAGTATTATCGTCACTAAATGTCTATCTCAACTTATTCTTGTTATCTTGTATCGTTTATTAATAAAGTCAGGAGAGGTTGTCGATGATGAGTGATCTGTAAAATATCTCGAAGATCTTCTTCACTTGAATCTACAAATTCTGAGTCAACTTCGACTAAATTGAAAATCCTCTGTAAATCGCAAATCATCCTCTGCTCTTGTCCTTTGTTTAAATTTCTTAAAGTTATCACAACATCAGTGGTCGTTGCCTTCCCTTTGTCTCGCTGTGTTGTTTGACCGTCCTTTTGGCTGAGCATGCCCAAGTTTCCTCGTCATCTCAACAGTCAACGGTTTTCTCTTTGTCCGATCGCTACCGCGAATCATCGGTGGATCCGGAGCAATTTCTTTCGCTATCGTGACTCGATCCTCGTGATCCTCGAGCAGTGAACAGGCGCTGATAGTCCGATTACAAGGCTTATCACTACCCGATCTCTACCTTCGCGTCTCAATCGAGGCGGAACCCGGGCCTCGTTTCGGATTGAGGAGACGCTCAGTTTTACCGAAACATAATTAAAGGTAATATTTTTTATCACAAGTACGAAAATACAACGAAAAATATGTTCACTGCATGTATGAATTTTTTTGTCGTTTGCAGTTGTTTGGCACTCCTGGAGCCGTATATGTGCATCGCAGAGTTGGAGAAGCATATAATCCGAAGTGTGTCATTCCTATTGTAAAACATGGTAGGAGTAGTATTATGATTTGGGGCTGTATGGCGTCAGCTGGCGTGGGAAATCCATTTATTTGTTCGGGTCGAATGAACTCAGATACTTATACAAACATGTTAGGACAGACTTAAAGTCTTCGATGACAAAAATATTTAAAGAGGAGAAGGAGCAAGTAATTATTCCAACAAGATAATGCTCCCTGTCATTCTACATGCAAGAGCATTGCGTGGTTTAAGCGAAATAAGATTAAGCTGTTTGAATGGCCACCACAGAGTCCAGATCTCAATCCAATTGAGCATCTATGGGCTCTTTTGAAGAAACACATCCAGGCTCGCAAGTGCAATTCAATTACTGAGCTCAAGAAAGTGATTTTTGAAGAATGGGAGAAAATATCACCTGTTATATGCGAACGATTAGTATACAGCTTACCTAAAAGGATAGCAGAAGTCATAAAAAATAATGGTGGACCAACCAAATATTAGTTTACATGATTATTTAAGAAATAAATGATAACATTTATAAAGATAGTGTTATTTATTTCCTTATAAATTGATGAAATTGTTAAATAAATAGGGTGCCTAATAATTTTGTCAATGGCTGTACATATTATTAGAATCCAATAAATACTGTTATATTAATGTTGCATAAAGAATTATAAATAAATATAATTTTACATAAGTCTTATCGGTAGCTTCCATTCCTAAATTATATTGTATTTATATATTGTACCAAATTTAGAATTGTTGTATCGCCAGTAATTAAAACCAAATACTCAAGGATTAGATCGACCAAGGCTGGCAGTTTTATTTAAGTTTACATTTTACCACGACGTTTCGGCCAGTAATACTGGTCCTTATCAAGTGGATCCTATTGCTTGTGCCAACGAAGCATCTACAAATCAATATCTTAGTCAAGTATAAAACGGTAATAAATTGTAAAATATAAAACTATAAAATGTAAAATATAAACATATAAAGCGGTAATAAATTGTAAAAGGAACTACGAATAAATATCTTAGTCATAA